GGCCCCCCTTCCACTCCTTACGTTGTCCCCATCCTCGCCCCCCTGTTTGTTCCGCGCCCCGCCACCTCCTCCCCTTCCTGTTGCATGAGCGCGCATGTCGATGTTCCTCGGCGCCGTCGCCGCCACGGCCAGCACAGGCGCGTTCTCTACTGGTCACGTCGCGCAGCCGTTGGGACAACCCCGCGGGCCAGGCTGTCGGGACAACCCCGCGAGCCGTTGGCGCGCAAGACCAAGCCGTTGGGACAACCCCGCGGGCTTCGAGCGAGGCGCAGCCGCGCTCAGGCGGAAGGCAGCACGAAGCCCAGCTCTGCCGCGAGCTGCTTCGCCTCCGCCCTGGACAAAACCGTTCTCTTGTCGAACTCCAGGAGCGCCTTCCGCAGGGACGCCGGCGGCCCGCACTCCAGGAACTCTCGCGGCGGCGGCCGCAGGATCAGCATGTTCCGCATGCACGTGGCGCGGGAGAACATGACGTAGAGGTGCAGCCACCACTGCTCGTCCGACATGCCCGTGCGGCCAGCGTCCTCGTCTCTCGCGCAGTCGATGGTGACGCCCTTGCGCAGCGTCTGGCCCTGCGACAGCGTGGAGGTCAGGTAGGACGCGTGCGTCAGGGTGAACCCCGAGCGGCGCACGCTGTGCGCCCCCGAGCTCTGCCATGTGAACTCCCTTTCGCTGGGCCTGAACATCAGCAAGCTCCGCGCCCGCGCCTCGGCCTGGCCGTCGTCGTCGGCGCCTTCGGCGCCCTGTCGCAGCACCTCGGCGACCTGAGGAGCCCAAAAACTTCCTGTTGCATCCAAAGTGTGGCCTGGGAACTGCGTTCTGGCAGCGCGAGAACCCAACATTGACGACAGTTACAGGTTTTGGATGACCTGCTCGGATTACCAACATGATCTGCGGGCCCCATAGGGAGGGGGCTCCCGCCTGAGACTTCCTCGCAGTTCACTCACAGACGAGGCTCCCGCCTGAGACTTCCTCCATATTCAGGCTTGAGGAGCCCAAAAGTGACGACAGTTACAGGGTTCCGATGACCCGCTCGGATTACCAACATGATCTGCGGGCCCCATAGGGAGGGGGCTCCCGCCTGAGACTTCTTCACAATTCACTCAAAGACGAGGCTCCCGCCAGAGACTTCCTCCAAATTCAGGCTTGACGAGCCCAAAAGTGACGACAGTTACAGGGTTCCGATGACCCGCTCGGATTACCAACATGATCTGCGGGCCCCATAGGGAGGGGGCTCCCGCCTGAGACTTCCTCGAATTCACTCACAGACGAGGCTCCCGCCTGAGACTTCCTCCATATTCAGGCTTGAGGAGCCCAAAAGTGACGACAGTTACAGGGTTCCGATGACCCGCTCGGATTACCAACATGATCTGCGGGCCCCATAGGGAGGGGGCTCCCGCCTGAGACTTCTTCACAATTCACTCAAAGACGAGGCTCCCGCCAGAGACTTCCTCCAAATTCAGGCTTGACGAGCCCAAAAGTGACGACAGTTACAGGGTTCCGATGACCCGCTCGGATTACCAACATGATCTGCGGGCCCCATAGGGAGGGGGCTCCCGCTTGAGCCTTCCTCAGAATTCACTCACAGACGAGGCTCCCGCCTGAGACTTCCTCCATATTCAGGCTTGAGGAGCCCAAAAGTGACGACAGTTACAGGGTTCCGATGACCCGCTCGGATTACCAACATAATCTGCGGGCCCCATAGGGAGGGAGCTCCCGCCTGAGACTTCCTCCCAATTCACTCACAGACGAGGCTCCCGCCTGAGACTTCCTCCATTTTCAGGCCTGGGGAGCCCAAAAGTGACGACAGTTACAGGGTTCCGATGACCCGCTCGGATTACCAACATGATCTGCGGGCCCCATAGGGAGGGGGCTCCCGCCTGAGACTTCCTCACACTTTACTCAACGATGATGAGGATGAGGATGATGAGTGGTGGTGAAGATGAGTGGTGAAGAGGATGATGATTGATTGTGGGTGGTGGTGGCGATGATGATGTTTGAATGAGGATGATGCCGATACCGATGATGACGTGTGAGTGAGTGGTGGTGATGATGAGTGAGTGAGTGAGTGTGCGAAGGCAGAAGAGGAGAGGGGGTGGGGTGAGTGTTCCTGCGCGGGGTGTGCAGAGAAAACAAGAACCCCACTTTGGATGTGGGGAAAAATGACGAGGCCGAGCCTGCATTTTGACGAGGCCTCCCGCCGCGGCCATCCCACGAAACTCCTACTCGTCAGAATCCGAGTCGCGGTCGTCAAAAGACGATGGCGAACCCGAGTCCTGGCAAACCCGTGTCTTACGCTCCCCCGATACTGGGCCAATAGTTCTTTCTGAAACACGTGGTCTGGATCCCACACCCGACCCAATGTCGACGAGTCTCAATGCACAGTTCGACAGCTTCGCATTTCAATTGCAAGTGCAACTTACTTGTAATCTTCCGCGCGGGCTCATGGCTAGCAGGTTGCATCCAGCATACACATGTTCCACGCAAGATCGACACCGCAATTCTCGTTGTGGTAAGACGTCGACACACCTAAGGATAGATTGACCGCGCATGGCCGCGAGGAGTGCTGGTTTGGGGGGACATGTCCTGGGATTTAAACGCCGCGAAAACAACGTGACTGTTGCATCCTGGCAATCCGAAAACTGCGCCTGGACATGAGTCATGGGCTTCGTTACCGCGAATCAATGTGACTGTTGCGTCCTGAGTGCTCTCAATCGCACCAGAACACCAATCCTGGGATTTCAGCCATACGTACGGCGTTAAGGCGATAACCACATTTTGAAAAGGAATCGCTTTCCATCCTTGAAACGGCTGCAAATTCTGAAAAAAGAATGCGCGCAGCGCAAAGGCGAGAGCCGCGTTTTGAAAAGGAACCGCCTTCCATCTGTGAAACTGCTGCAGCGGAGCTGAAG